AAGAAGAACAAGGAGTGAGAGCAGAGTTCATTAGAAATGCTAAATTGTAGTTTGTGGCTCAAGCAGAGTAGGGGTAAAAGCACACTGGGAAACTCGAAGTCCAGGTCTTCATGCCGCATGATATCCAGCGTGATGAGTGTAAAATTTCTCTAGGACGTATCCATCCATTAGTGTTTGGGCTTGTCTGGTCTTGATGACATTTGAAAAGCATTTAAATCAGGCTCTAGGCTCTGGGCTCATTTGCTTTTATTTATTTATTTTATTTATTTTTTTAGAGACAGGGTCTCACTCTGTCACCCAGACTGGAGAGCAGTGATGCAATCTCAGCTCACTGCAGCCTCAAACTCCTGAACTCAAGTGATCATCTCACCTTAGCCTCCCAAGTAGCTAGGACTACAGGCACATGCCACCACATCTGGCTAATTCTCCTAGAAACAGGGGTCTCAATACATTGCCCAAGCTGGTCTCAATTTCCTGGCCTCAAGCAATATTCCAACATCAGCCTCTCGAAGTGCTGGGATTACAGTCATGAGCCAATACCAGGGCTCATCTATTTAATGTCTTTATTTGAGAAAAAATAATTACTCTTAAGAGGAAACTGTCAGAACAATTGCCAAGTAATAAAACGTTTGCAGCATTGTGTTACCATGTCTATTGTTTAAAATTTATCATCAGAGTTAGAATGTCCCGAAGGATCAAGTTGTGCTTGTCAATGGCCCTATGTGTTTATATCTCAGACAATACGGTTGCTTCTCAAGCATTTCTGTTGGGTGTGGAAGACTGACTTTGGGGAAACAGAATAAAAATAAACATGACTATTTCCTAAATTCATATGTGATCAGTGTTATGTGAATTTGTACAAAAATTCAAACAATTGAATAGAAGTTTAATACCAGTGGTCACTATGTAGAATGTAACTGTGAATTTAAAATAAAAATTTCAGGAACTCATTTATGAATTTTTAAATATTGGCTTTAAGTGAAAGCCAAAATGAGGTCTGACAGCTTCTAGTTTTCTTTAGTACCCCCACATATTTGAAAACTGAAATTCTATAAGAGATTATCTGTGAAATGCCTTTCTTTTATTACACCCATAAATTTTAGGAGTGGCTTTGATCAAGCCTTCTGCCATTCTTGTTTTCTAAGTCTTTTACTCACACGTTAATAACTTTTAAAACATTCATTCTATTTTTGTGGTAGTGAAAGAGGAAGTTTCTAAATAGTCAAAGGGAAACACTGAAAATAGAACACAGTATATGATAACTAAATTAGGGTAGCCCCCTCTGCCACCCCAAGAAAGTTCCATGCTGAAACTTGCCAGGGCTGGTTTTTTTTTTTTTTTTTCTGAGACAGAGTCTCACTCTTGCCCACGCTGGGCTGGAGTGCAGTGGCACAATCTTGGCTCACCACAACCTCCACCTCCCGGGTTCAAGCAATTCTCCTGCCTCAGCCTCCCGGGTAGCTGGGACTATAGGCACGCGCCACCATGCCCGGCTAATTTTTGTATTTTTAGTAGAGACAGGGTTTCACTATGTTGTCCAGGCTAGTCTCGAACTTCTGACCTCATGATCTACCCGCCTCGGCTTCCCAAAGTGCTGGGATTTTACGTAGAGACAGCTACCGTGCCCAGCTGGTATTTTAAGATTATTGTGTGTAAAGAAAATGTTCCAGAGTATTGAGATCCTCAGAGGGAAAGCATTACAGAAATGCAGGGTATTATATTATCAGTAACACATACTATACATAGAACAACGTTTGTCTGCCTTAATACTGCGATCAGTGGAGTTTTGTCTTCTGGCTCCTGTTTAAAAGACACACACACACAACTTGCAAATCCAATGAGTTAACACTCTGCCGACTTCCTCTAGACACTGACCTCGGGGGTCAAACTCTTAGGGAAATTGTGCTGGTTTTCCATTCTCCTGAAGCCAGTCCCTACCAACAAGCAAGTCCTATCTCTGAGTGGAAGCTCACAAAGAATTTCTCGAGAGAATATGTAGCTGTGTTGGCAACAAAATTCTCTCCGCAAAATGGGAAGAAAGAGTTGTTAACTGATGAGTCAGTCCAGCTTTTATAGCAGATTATCTATCTTCGTGGTATTTCCAAGAGCATAAATGCTATTAAAAAAAGAGACGGTCATGACAGGAAGAACACAGTAGAAAAAAACAAGAACATTTGAGCCAAAAGCAATTTACTTTGCCAGTAACTGGTTACATTTCCCTTTGTTTTATTATTATTATTGCAAGAGTTGGGGTTGACATAAAAGTTTCCCACACCTGCACTGCCCTGCCATGTAACTTGTGTGAACCCGTAGTGAAATAAATATATAAACAAACGGCTGCACCTCTGAGCTTCTAGACCCTTTCAGAAAAACAAACTTGTTTTGCTATCCTGTTGAGAAAATAGACTATAATTCATTAATATTTGAAGGCGTTTAAAAAGAAAAAACAAACATGGGTTCACTGTAGCCTGGAGCTCTGGAGGTAGCTTGATTCTCTGAGGATTAACACCTATAGAAATAGCAGTGACTTCACAAAGGTGAATAGTTGTTAATTTCTTGGCACTGAGTTAGAAAGAGGAAGAGATGGGCAGTCAGAGGGAAAAGATTTTTTTTTTTTAAAAAAAAAACACAGAGATCTTTCAATGATTCGAGAGAAGAGTCAGTGGCCCACTGGTGAATGGGGTAATATGCAGGGCTCTCTGACTAAGTTTTATTGGCTTTAGTGGAAGTCTTACCAGCTACGGTTAGGTTAAGACTAATGGGGACCCCACTCGCTGTCAATTCAGTTGGACGTTTTTTTCCTGTCTGGGGTGGGCCGCAGCACCCTCGTGCTGTGTAGAACTTCAGTGTTTTCATTTGGGGAGTGCTCCCTGGTGACTACCAGCCCAAGTTACTATGAATACTTCATTCGGAGGCGGTGTGTGTGTGTCTGTGTGTCTATTAGAGATAAGTTGCTTAAAGCAGGGGCTCTGGATAAAGTCCAGTTGCCCGTGTTGAAATCCTTCTGCCACCAGTAACTACTTGTATGGTCTGAGGCAAGTTATTTCATCTCTGTCTCAGTTTTCTGGTCTGTATGATGGGGAAAAAGGACCATGCCTTCCTCTTTGGCTCCTTGGGAGTTTTAATGGAGTTATTGTATGCAAAGCACTTAGAAGAGTGACTTGTAAAGAGAAAGTGCTCAGAAACGGTTAGCTACTATTACTATTCACTTAGCTACTCTTATTATTCATGCACAATGCTGGAAACATTCACGCAAAGGGCATTTACTGAACTCTCCGATAAACCAGACCAGTGAATTATATACACCCCTAAAAGTAACAGTATATCTATTGCTTCGCATTAATTTTTTTAAATAAAACTGGCTGGAGCCAGATGTGCTATCAGTAAGGGTACTACTTTCTCTCTAGCAGAGCTTTTTCTTGGTAAAGATCAGTCTCACCTAAAGAACAAGAGCCGGTCTAATTCTGGAGTCTCAAGACTTAGGTTCTGCGAGTCAGTTACATAGCACTGAGCTTTCAAGGAGAGGTATAGGTCCTTGCAGGGTGGCTAGAAGGAGCTAGGGCTGTTTCTTACATGAGTCAATTAAGGTCCACAGACCCACCCCACTCCTGTCCACCAGCACACCATAATGCACCTGTTTTCACTCATTGACCTAGCAAATGACAGAGTTTCATGACCCTAAAGGGAAAAAGATGTGGCCTGGGGACCAGAATTTTTGCTGTCCCCAAAGCCAGCCCTTCAATACCAAAACTTTACCTGGTGTCTTCTGAATCCAAAAGGTCTGGAATTGGATTGCAGGGGCCCTACCCAGTCCTTTGTGTTCCATTCCCCCCAGGACTTTGAATGCTTGTGTTCTTCAGGGTGTTTGTGCATTGCATGTGGGGACTAGATGATAGCCCTACTGAGATTCCAAAGGCCCTGGTCTCCTGTCTCCATTCCCAGTGCGAACTCAAGTCGCCAGTTTATGTTTTCAGAGTATCAGCATTAAGTAGTAAAGCGGAATGCGGTTTTACATGTGCCCAAAGTGACACGTATACCACATGGGAGGCTGGCAGGACCAGTCTATGAAGACGGGATAGAACAATATGTGGGCATCTTTCTTTCTATTAGTCACTTTTTCATTCAACAAGTGCATGTTATGTAATGCTGCCTTTGGGTGTTGTGCTGGGCAGGTAAAACACACATCCCACAGGCTCTTGCCCTTAAGGATTCTCCAGTCTAGTATAATAATATACCAAAAAGTACAACTAAACTACGAGGAATACAGTGAAATGTTCCATAAGAGAAGGAGAGAAAAAACGTTCAGAGGGGAGCGGAGGAGAGGAATTTGAGTCTGAGCCCTGAGTGACTGCTGGGATTTGCCTAACCATACCTGAAATACCCATGTACTTGCCTTATTAAGAACAAAGGGCTTTTTCTCTTGATCAAATCCCATTTGGAGTTTAAGTTTGTGTGACCAGAATATTAGGTGCTAGTCTGTTCTAAATTTGTAATTCTCAGAATCTGCTGGGGGAGTACATGTGCTGCTCTGGCTTCTGAAAACAGCTCAAAGAATAGAGAAAATAAACCCAGTTTGGGGATGACTTCTTGTCAGTTCCCGGAACCTCTGCCTTTATTTAAAAACAGCATGTTCAATGCAAGTTCTATCAAAAAGGCCTTTGGGATTTGAAAGCTTTTCTGGAAATAAATGCCTTGTAGATTTAAGTGCTTTTCGCCAAAATGCTAGGAAGGGAAGATCATAGTAACAAGTCGCAGCACAGAGGTGATACTGTTTTGTTTTAATGAAATGCCTCCAAACTGCTACCCTAAGTTCTGTCAGTTTTCTGCTCAGCGATTATTTTGATTAGGGACTTGAAAGTACATCCTTCCCTCACGGTCATTAAAGTCTTAGCACTTGGGTCAGTTGTGGAAACACTTCTGTGCTAGACAAAGTCTTCTAAACAAAACAAACAGTCCACGCCCTGGCTCCAGGCTGCGGACCGTGTCAAATTCATGGAACGTGGCTTCGTGCTCTGACGAGGAGAGCAAGAGGTCAGGATCCACAAAACAGGCCGGCTGCAATCACCAGCCCTGCGCGGGGAGGCGGACAGAGCAGAGCCCTCCCTGCCAGTCTGGCAACTCCAGCAAAGTCCTCAGGCTCATCCCACACACTCGGTGCTAGTCACTGCTGTGTGTTTACATGAGTAATGGAGCTGCTGGGGGAGGGGAGTTGTAAGCAGAGCGCTGAGCCTCGCAGCTCGCATTCGGAGGGAAGCTGACATCCACACCAAGTCGAGACTTCTTCCAGGGATGTGGCCGGAGAGCAGTCACATGCTGTAGCTTTCATGAGCACAGACATCAGTCAGGCAGATGTTTGTCGATTGGAATGGGTAATCGCTGCTTTCTCTTTGCTTGATTTTTGTTTGTGAGCTTGTTTACCTTTGGTTAATTCCAGGCTGGCTTTCTGCGATGAACTTTCAGACCAGCGTTTAGGGGAATGAAAGGGGAGAGCGGGTTTAGGAAGGGGATCCTAAGCCCTCAAGCCTCTTTTGAAACTTCTGCCTCTCTGATTTTAAAGGCAGCTCTGCTTTACTGAGCTTTTACCAACAGTGAAACTGTTATCCGGAGGAGGAAATCAAATCAGTAGGATTAACTGTGTTTGCAAAATGAGTACAATGTAAAAATGTTCTAAAACCACTGGTTCGCTGCGTAAGTAAGATTAACAATTGAGAAGGTTCATGTTGTTTAGATTTGACATTATCATAATCACTCCTGAAGTAATAAAAAGTGTGGGTATCTTGAAAGGTCTGAAGCAAATTGTTTAGGGTATAATTCATTAGTGTAGAGTCGTTCAAGGGCGGTTGGTTAGTTGGTTGTTTTTCATTTTGCTTGACTTGGGTGACCGATGAAGTTAAATGTGAAAGCTGATGCCGGACAGGCATCGCTCTCAGTAAACAGCAGCCTTTCCTTTACTGCTTTCTGTATAGATCTTAAAAGGAACCAAGCTCAGAATCAAGGATGAAATAGAACTTTGATTTGTATCTTGTCTACGGTTTTTCAAAAGTGTAACCCCCATGGAATCAGGCTAACCCCACTGTAATCTTTGGATGTTATTTTAAATAAGCCTAAGCTCTTCATAAAAATATATTGAAAAGGAAAAGAGAGCATGCTGATTTAAATGTATCTGCCAGATTTGTTGAGATTTGAAACATGCTGGTTGCAGAATTATTAGTAAATATGTATAATAATATTTTCCAGCTTGTTGTTGTGAATGCCTCTCTCTGTAGTATCTCTCTACTTATCTGTCTGGTAATTTGAGAGAATGCCCTTGTCTCTGAATACTTTCTAAAAGAGATGTTTTCAAACATTTCATTACTATGATACCATAAGGGCAGGCGTATCACAGGTTTCTGAAAGCAGGATACAAAATCAAAACCAAAAATTGAGCTCAAAGCCTGGCTCAGTTTTTCAGCCCCAAATGCTTCTTGTCTAACAATGTGGAAGAACATTTTTCTTATGATCCGTTAGAGCTAAGAGCTTCGTGTTACTTAATATTAATTAGACATGTTAAAGCTCAATAGATTAGCTTTGGGAAACATGTACAGAAATGTATACTCTACCAATATGCAATCCTTCAGAGAGAGAAGCATGTAATAAGGAGGGCTGCCTACCACAGATATGTACATTTCTCTGAACAATTAGAAGGGATCACTGTAGTCAGATTCTGGGTCTTTAATAAACCCATGCAAATGAAAATGTATATCAATTGTTCTCCGTTTGTTTTCAGCGCCAAATCTTAAAGGCAGACCACGCAAAAAGAAACCATGCCCACAAAGAAGAGATTCATTCAGTGGTGTTAAGGATTCCAACAATAATTCTGATGGCAAAGCCGTTGCCAAGGTACGGTCATTCACTCCACGGTATTCATTTTGTTGCATCTTTTTATTTTTGCGTTTTCTCTTTATCTCTCTGCTCTTGTGTCTTGGAGGCAGTTTTCAATTCAGCATCTGACTTTGGTATTCAGAGCTTTTGAAGCTCTATGCTGTGCCTGTTCCTGTCACATCCCCTCCCCTGGTGCTGTGGGGTGGGGGAGGTAGGCATTTTGATTAGTCAACAGAAAGACTTCCTAGCTCCCAGTTTGGCCTGTTTTGAGTAAAGGACAGATGATTAAGCACCCACGTCACTGAGGCTGAGATTTCATAGTGGGTGACACAATGACATAGTTTACTCTGCTTGTGTCAAAAATAGACCAGCTGAACCGTCTTCCTTCTGAATGTATTCATCTAAATGTGTTTTGGAGATTAACAGAGGATGAAATTAGAAATAGCTAGAATTAATCTTTTTAGTTAAGTATTTTTCAAAGTCACTTCTAATTTACATAAGAGTAAAATTAAAGATACATAGCAAAACATTTATATGTATACATATGCCCGCAAGCATTTATATACTCTTAAAGATGTCTGTTAATGCAGAATGAAAGTAAATGCTACACAGTTGTTCAGAACCCAGGTCCATTTTTTGCCTAAGCATTCTTTGGAATCTTGAAAGTGCATGCCTGAAGTATTTAGCACCACAAAGGGTAAAGTATCACTTTATATTTTTAGACTTATCTTTCTGACTTTTGTGGACTTGGGTCAGATTTCCATGGTTCTGTTTACTGCATTTAGGTGTTGTTTTTGTGCCAAAGACGGCAATCGTCCCTTTAGGATTTTAATTGAAGAACAGATTTCAACTGACACCAGTTTCCAGATCAAAGAACTAAACTTCTGAAAATGGGAGCATTTTGATTAGTGGTGACTTTGGAAGAGTCTGATGTAGAAAAAAAAAAAACATGAATTCAGTTCTGTGTTGACAGTCTACTGTTTCTCTGCCATGTACTCCACCTCCTCCCCAATGTAATGAAGTAAATCTTAGACATCCACATTCTAAAAAAGCTTATCGTTAAGCATCATTGTTTCATTAGGAAATTCTAAGGACTTTTTTGCTTAGAATTTCTTCATACTTCTAAGATTCCAAAGGGTTAAGAAGAGATGAACCAGTAGAAATGTGTATTTTCCATTTTCTGGTTGAAAACAAATCTCTCTCCCTAAGGTGATTTTTGTTCTGTGCATTTAACTTTCTGTGAACAACTCCAAATGGACACCATGAATGACATTTTCTTGTAAGTTGGACACCTCAGCACTAGAACTGTCTACCTAGGACTTTGGTTTCCATGGTCTTGAAGGATGTCAGCAGGAACAGTTCATTCCCTGCTATGTTGTTTGCAAGATCCTGTGGAATGGGGCAAGAAGGTTTTAAGACCATAACATTCAGCAGAGCTTGTACTGCCCATGCCTTCTGTTGGTGCCCAGCCCATCCTTCTTGGTTGACAGCCTGTGTTTACTCCAGCATATTCTGTACCTGAGCCAAGCAGGATAAACCTCCTTCCCATGCCACTTGGCGTCACCACCAAGGTATGCCTCTGGGAATTTTACAAAACTCATACAGTTAATCTGAAAGAACAGCACCTCCAATGTTTCTCTCCACGGAAGGCAGCTCAGAACTCACTGTTGAGCTCACAAAGCCGAGAAGAACAAGAGCCTGCTGTGCAGATGGGCTGTATTTGATCCCTGACTTCTTAACAAGAAGGATAGAAGTCAGTCCTGGATTTTCTAAGTGACGCCTTTACCCCATCCCCACAACAGTGCTGCCCGACAATCTTTACAAAGAGATGGATCATCCTTCCACCACTGGTGTTCAGTGGTGAACAGATGAATGTCATGCTGTACTCACCTCCTAGGGACTGGTCTAATGGCTTGGCTCTTTTCAGAGTCTTGGATTACAGTCACGCCTTGGCGGCTTCTAGTGGGTCTAGCAAGACCACTTAAGCAAGAAGATCAGTAGGTATGAAGTATGACAAGCTTGTCTGTTGGCACCAATAGACAGATGTAAAATACCTGCAGAATGAACAAGCCACATCTGAGACGAGGACAGTCATGAAAAAGGCATGTGTGTCTTTACGTGGTCTTTTCTCATGAAATGCTGCAGTAGAGATTATAAGCTTGTGACCATCTGATCATCTGCTGAACTGGAAGCAGCATTTTAGGGGACAGTGAGCTGTTTGACTTTATGACCAAGACCCATGTGACTGTTTCTTTTCAAAAGTGCCTCAAACAGACCATTTCTAACTAAGCATGAACTTCGTGCAGCTCCACACAGCAAAGCTTTTAGAGTGGGACCCACTGGGTTTGCTGTGTTTATGATTGGAAAAATAAGTCAAGTGATTTGCCTGTCACCATCAAAATGTTGCACTCCCTCCATGAGAACTGAAGACTAGCTTTGCAAGATGGTACTTTCCAAGGAAGAGAGAATTACATGGCTCTCCAAAGACAGCAAGTGTCGTGTGGAGAGGAAACTACCAACTCTGAAGATACCATGATTGTGTTCAGCCCAAATCCTGCCATTTTTTTTCTGGAATCATCTTAAAGCAGTGACCTGAGGCCCACACCTTTCACAGAGCGATCTATACCAGAGAAATCTTCTTGGCATCGCACTCTAATAAAAGGCCTACATCGATAGATGGCAAATGATTTTTTATATCCCGTAAGCATTTTTCTGAAGGGCAGAAGTGTATAACAGGTGGTTTATATTCTAAAAGGAACACAAAAACAGAACTGTGGTGGGCAGTGTGTTCATTTAGATGATAAACATAGTTTTGATATTTCACAAATAGGATGCTTTCATTATTTTCAATATTTTTCCTCTCATGTGGTCTTCAGAACTGTTCCCAGGGATTATCATTCTTGCTTTACTATGGAAGAAACTGAGGGTCACCTAGCAAGGTAGCAACCAAACCAAGATGAGAACTCTAGCTTTTATATTGCTGGTTCAGCACATATTGTCCCGGTTGAAGGCTGGATTAGTTATAACTCAATCCCCTGGAAGGATGTGGTTAATATCAAACAGGTGTTGGTTCATGGAAAATGTTAAATGCTGATTATTTCATTAGCACCTCCTCAATCATTTTGGAAACCCCAAAGCCCTTAGTATACTCAACAGGTGTATGGTGTTCAGGTCAGGAAAAACAGATCTAGTCATTAACTGTCACAATCAAAAGGTTGGGCTTTCTTAGGCCAACCTGAAGACTACTTTCCTTGCCACTACCACCTGCACTGTAATGATTCAATAGATTGAAATACTGCGAATGCTTTGGGTAAAAAAAACATATAGAAAGGAACTTGATTTAGTCCTACCCAGAAATAGAATAATACCCTAAAAAACTCATTTATGTTAACTGGAAAAAAAATGTATAAAGCTAGAACAAGAAAAGAAGCCTCTGTTCTCTTGTTCACTTCTTACCAGTACCCACCCTCCCCAGGAGCAGCGTGCAGGCAGCCCACTGAGATTCAGGATGGAGTTCGGCAGGTGGCAGCCTGGCTTCACTTGGGGCCTTTGCTATGAAGCATGGAGTCTGGGTTGCTTTGGACCTGGTTCATGCACCCCTCTGTGTCTTCCTTCTGTTTCTGAGTGTTTCTACAGATGAGGAAGAGGGGTAAGCAGCTCTCTAGACACCACGGAGTTCAAACCTCATTCTCCTTTTAACAGTGGTGCTTCTGACCTAATAATATAGATAGTTGGCCCATTATCACTGCAAATTTAAGACTCAGTTTATTTTATACACAAACCTGAGAGATCTACTCTTTTATGTTACAAGACTGGGGTTTGGAGTAGAGCAGAACTGAGTTCTAAACCCAGAGGTCTGCCTCTTCCAAGCCATACATGACCTCACTGAACTCTAGTTTCCTCAACTGTAAAATGTGGCTAAATATCTCCTTTTGACAATTCTTAGGAACATTAAGCTAGAGCATGTGAAGCCCACAGCACCAGACCTAGCTCATTGTAGGAACTCAATGGAAAACTGATTTCCCTCCCCTTTGCTCATTATACAATAGAAAGAATGGAGCTCCTTGACACATTGGAAACCCCCTAGATTTGTCTTCTACTTTTCATTTGATAAACCACATTTCTAAGTAGTAGGTTTTGTAATGTCTCATAATCATATAGGCTTTTTAATTGGGAAGTCTGTTTTGATTACCAATTTAATATTTGTATGAAGAGTGTCAGAAAAGTATAATGTTTAAAACCACAAGCCCTAAAGGAAGGCTGCCTAAGCTTAAATTTCAGACTCCCCACTTACTAACTAGGGCATGATCTTGTGATCTTGTCCATGCTGCTCATCCCGTCTGCCTCCATTCCCTCATTTCTAATACAAAAATCATAAATACCTCATTCAGATTGTGAGTATGAAATAAAACATAAACACATTGAGAATAGAGCCTGGCTGCCCAGGAAACACTCAGAAAGGGGTGGGAGGCAATACAGATTAAAACTGGAGTGATGTTATGATTTCAAGAAGCCATATAAATTATAGACTTCACCAGAACTTTAGATCCAACAGCCTAAAATTTGGCAGTGAAAAATGATGACAACATAAAGTTTCACAGGATATTTGCCTTAATATAATGTTACAGAGTACAAAATCTACATGGAAAAATTGTTTCAGTCCCTGTTTCCACAGCCCCTTAAAAATTAAAATCTTATCTAGAAGCCCCATTGAATCAGTTTCATAGGAAGTATTATCTTTGCAGGACCAGTCGAAAGATATTAAACACTGTGTGTTCACTTGAGAGAATAAGCAATAAAGAAAACTCTTGCAGAGAGTGCACTTTCCTTTACTAAATAACCATAGTCTTTTATGTTCTTAATGCTTAGGAAGGAGGATCTGCAGGGAAAGAAAAAGGGTTCAAAATCCTGAAATGGACAGCGTCGTAGAATATGTGGGACATTTTTATTCAGAACATTTCCCCAGCGCTTGCCCTCTTGTCTACCGATGTCAGTTATGGAGATGTAAAGAATATTGGAATGTACACATTCCCCATGGGCGCATTTGAACTCAGAGTCTGACCCTTTGTACTTCCCCCTTTTACAATTAAAATAGCTCAGCAACTTAGCGTTATATTTAACAACTATCAAAGGCCTCTTGTAGAACATGGCAGTGAGGAGGGAACATTAGGTTAGCCGCTCGATATGCCAAGTTCCCTATCTGCCTGCAGTGTGGAAGGAAGAACATCTGGAGCCTTTACCGCCTTTTAGTTTTTAATTATGGAGCTTTATACTCACTCTTCTTGGCTTTTTAGCTGACCTCTACTCTTTCTTTTGTGGCAAGTTAACATCTTACTCTTAGAGCTGACTGATAAAACAAGAAGCCCTCATTAAACAGTGAGATCTTTTGTTTCGTACTGAGGGTGTACCCTGGCATCACCCATGGGTGGCAAACAGCAGAGGCCTTGCTGGTATTGCTGATGCCAGCATTGCTGGTATTGACTTGTTTTTCTAGGTTGCTGGAGAGAATAGCAACAAGAATGGTTTACTACAAAGTAGTAAACCATTTTGATGCAAAGTATAACATATGGTACTATTTGTTAAGGAGGCAGGGTTTGTTCAAGGACATTAACTGATGCTTCTCCTTAAGAAAATAAAATGGGGCCGGGCGCGGTGGCTCACGCCTGTAATCCCAGCACTTTGGGAGGCCGAGGCGGGTGGATCACGAGGTCAAGAGATCAAGACCATCCTGGTCAACACGGTGAAACCCCGTCTCTACTAAAAATACAAAAAATCAGCTGGGCATGATGGCACGTGCCTGTAATCCCAGCTACTCAGGAGGCTGAGGCAGGAGAATTGCCTGAACCCGGGAGGCAGAGGTTGCGGTGAGCCGAGATCGCGCCATTGCACTCCAGCCTGGGTAACAAGAGCGAAACTCCGTCTCAAAAAAAAGAAAATAAAATGTATTAATATAAAGAGACAGACGAATGTTTCTACCAGATGCAAAGCCTATCTCTCATTTCACATCAAGGTACTTGTCAGGAGTCTAAAAGAAGCTGGCATAGTTTGGCAAACTGTGGCCCACTGGCTGGCTATTTCTGTCAATAAAGTTTTATTGGAACACAGCCATACCCATTCGTTAACATATTGCTTACGCCTGCTGTCCTACTAGAGTTGACTAGTTGCAACAGAGAGTGTATGTATGACCCAGAAGCCTACAATATTTACTATGTGACCCTTTACAGAAATTTGCCATCCCCTGGCCTCAGACAATTCATCTTCAGTGATGCCTATGAAAAGTTATTAAAAGCAGGGATAATTTACTGGTTCACCCTTAGCACTTGCTGAAAAGTGTCACTGGCTGTGTCACTAGCTATGTCTTAGTAAGGATCCCAGGGCTGTGCCTGGTCTGATGTGGCATATTTTCCCTTTTTCAGGTGAAATGTGAGGCTAGGTCAGCCTTGACCAAGCCGAAGAATAACCATAGTAACTGTAAAAAAGTCTCAAATGAAGAAAAACCAAAGGTTGCCATTGGTGAAGAGTGCAGGGCAGATGAACAAGCTTTCTTGGTGGCACTTTATAAATACATGAAAGAAAGGAAAACGCCGATAGAACGAATACCCTATTTAGGTTTTAAACAGAGTGAGTATACTTGTTTTCGTTTCTGAATTATCAGAGCTGCTCAGATTCTTTGAATTGGAAAAATAATTTTGACTCAGGATTATGTTGAAATCCTAATCGGGGGATAGTGCTCTCTGTTTATACTAAATCCACAAATGTTCCAAGCCAAGAATTTTTTCCCTGCCTTTTTCCGCTACATTGTTCCCTTCTGGGACAGTTGCAGTGAGATATTTATAGGCTTGAATCCACTGATTATGACTGGAAATAGACATGTTGAAAGTTTCTCATTTTCTGTTTTGTCAATCTTGAGTGTCTGTGACGCCTTTCTTGTGAGATAATAATATGACGTAGCTTTATCAGGCACAGATGTTGCCTGTGGAAAAAAAAAGCTTTTAAAAGAACGACATTGAAAGATGGACAAAACAACCACAAAGAGAAAACACGTTTCCTAAGCCCCAAATTTGTTAAAAGATAACAAAAATCTAACTTCAGAGAAAACAAGAAATACACAGATTGCAACAGAAGGCCTAATTTTGAATTACTTTGACATGTACATTTAAATGTAAGTGTCATTGTATATGTGTAAGGAGAACAGGAAACTCATAGCCAAGCAGAATTCCGAATCAAAAGAGAAGAAATCCAGATCCTGCCTTGATTTTGCAACTGAATATATATTTTGCCTCTGTCTGGATTTAGTGGTGCACAAAGCGATGAGCCTCTGGCTTGAAATAGTGTTTTCTCCAGACGTATCTTCCTAGATTGAAACCATGTGTCATTTTGATGAAGAATGTCAAACCTGTGTGTTTTACATAACAATTTACATACCTAATAGCAATTGGCACTGATTGCAAGAGAACACTCGCAGCCATTATAAACTTATATAACTACGAATGATTACAATGTTTGTCTGAAAACTGGTTGCTTGAAATAGAAGTAAAATTAATGTACTATGAACAGCTTTGTTGCATTATGCATTGGTTCAGATTAAATCAAGGCCGAGACAGGGCTCTTGATAGCTCTGAAATAGTGCAAGGTTCAATGGGGTTTTGCGAACATGTTGTGTCAAAGAGCCTTTAAAAAAATCATTTTATTCTTCATTTCCTTTACCAAGGAATCACTTGAAGTTCAATTTTCCCCTCTTGTAAAAGAATCAAATCCATAGCAGTCCCATTCCATGGTATTTGGTATAAATGAACAGGGTTGCTAGCAGTTTGGCATAGCTGTTTAACAGCATAAACATATGCAAACTCTGAAAAGAGAAATCTGTTTGAAAAAATAAATATTTGCAACATGACATAGTCCAGTTAGGGGACTAAGTGGATTCACGACTCAATTCCTCTCTGAATGAACTTTCCCTGTTATCTATTGTATCACTGTGGCTTCCATGTGAAATATTTGTTTTCCTGCTCACTGCAAGCCACCACATGTTGGTGAAATACTGTATGACCCTTTAATATAGTGCTGCCATCAGACATTCTATTAAGAAGGTAATCATATATTAAAGTGGCTGTTATTTATTGATTATGGAGAGTTCTTATCTCAGAGAAGCTTTATATATTACTCTTTAATCAATGGCTTCTTTCTAAGGGTCGAAGAAGACCAACCCCATTTTGAAAGCCCATGTTTTTTTCCCAAAGGCTCCTAAGTTAGCTTCTCTTGCTCTGCTGTTGACAGTAGGACTGAAAACTCTGTTGTCTTTTATCCTAAAAATAGAACCATTTTTGTAGCTTTATGAGTGTGTCTTAAGAAATGTTTTAAGTGGTAATTATAGATTCTGTTGTTGAATGCCCTTTGGGCAAATTATTTCCTAAGAATTTAGCTCTCTGGGGTATGTTAGTATTTCTTTTTTTCTCTTTCTCATTTAAAAAAAAAAAACAAAATGTTTTAATTGACATTTCTTGGAAATATATTAATGCAATGCTTATCTAAATACTTATTGTCCCTCTAACAGTTAACCTTTGGACTATGTTTCAAGCTGCTCAAAAACTGGGAGGATATGAAACAGTAAGTGTTTAAGCAACTTAAATGAAATAATTTTGCAATCTAACTTTTCCCCTCTCTGACCAAAATGGAGAAAATGCAAGGGCAAACCATCATTGACTGCCTTTTCAAACGTCTCTGTAATTTTGGGGGTTTATTGGGCCCTTTGGAAACAGTCCCAATTAGTTCCAGGTTTGGCAAAATTGTAAACTTGTAAAAACTACAAGTGGAAAACATATGTAACTCTCCCCTGTCAGGGAAATTAGTTGGGTCTGTAATTTTTTCCCATGTTGAGAAAGGGCTATTATTGTACAACAAGCCAAGATTGCATAAAAGAAATTTCCCTTGGCAACATACCTGACATCTGTTCATGTCTAATATGGGAAATGTATTAAAGGCTTTCAAAAGTAATCAGTATTGGCCATTAAGGAATAGAATGCAGCAGAATCTCTCTCATTCTAGGGCAAAGAAGCTTTATTAGACAAGGGTCAGTGCTGCATAAACAGGAAGTTATCAAACTTATTCAGAACAGGCTCTGACACTCTTTATCAGCTAATTCTAACTGACAGCAATGGGTTATTTTTAGCCCACAGGAAAATTTGATGGCCACGGATTTTTACAGCATGTATTTTGAACCAATGAAACATTAGAGAAACAAACTGAGATTCAAATCTTGAAGTAAGAAGAGCGAGCTGCATTAATGTAGCCCACAGAGATGACATTTGTAATAAAATCAGTTGACATAGGAAGATGTCGTCATTGGGAATATTTTCTCCCCCACGCAATGATCAGATTAAGTTGTGTAGTTTCTTCTGCAATTGAATAAGAAATTATTTTTTCATTCCCTAAGAAGTAATCTGGAATATCTCTGTACCATAGTAAAATGACAATAAGACACACAAAGTCAAGAAAATGAAATTCCTTTTAGCCCAAACGTAATAACCAGTGTTTCTTGCCAGATAAAGCATATTGTTCCACAAACCAATATAATGGTTTAATGTCAGGGGCTTACAATGGAGAAAGATGACAAGTATTATGTGATTCAGATAATCTGGTATTTACTGTTGAGCTATCTGCTATGAATTCTGACAAAATTCTTTGATATGAATAATATGTGCTTGTAATATGTTTAATATATGGGATATGTACACATGTTTATAAAGAAATACAGTCACATGGACTACATATAAAATGTACATTTCATATACATGAATTTACTTCAAATATTTATTTTATCAAGTGCCCTGTGTAAAAATTATAATTTTTCATTTAGTTGAGTCTGTTGACAGGATCAGGATATGGATACCCTGCCACTGTAGCTCATAGTTTTTTGCAAAATCTTGAGCTAATTATAGTCCCCATTCATGTAAAAAAAAAAAGTAACTTATTCAGGGTTAGTCTCATAAACGTAGAAGTCAACCCCATAGGCTAGACTTTTTAGTCTAGCTTTTAATGTTTAGAATAGGAATACACATTTTTATATGAACTATGACTGAAGAGAGTTATATGATGTTGAACAATATTATTAAATGTCTTTTCACACTCGGGAACTTTTTGTTATTCACTGATAAGGAGAGTGCCAACAATTTCACAGAATCAGTTTTTCCTGCTTTTGTGTCTTCTGTATCTTCACAAATAATTTTTTTCCCTGCAACAGCAAATTGATATAGAATGTACAGCAGAAACTTCTGATAAATGTCAGGGCATTCACAGTACTCTTTGAATAAACAGCATTTATCCTTTTGTTGGATAAATGGATGAGTACACAATCAGCAAAACACCTGACCACATATTTACTGAGTACCTTATGTGTTCAAGGCATTGTTTTAGACACTGTTAGATGTAAGGTTTTAGTAAGGCCGGTAATTTCAATTTCAATCCTTAAGTTGCTTACCATCCAAGAGAGGCAATAATGATCAAACAAGGTGGAAAAAGATTAGTGCCCTACACAGGCCAAGTATTTACTCACGTGGGCTGAGAGAAGGAAGGCTTCATGGCTCTGAGGCCATTTGGGGAGAATTCTGGAGAATGGATAGAATGTAGACATGAATGATCAATTATGTCTTCCACAAAGAGAGAATGAATCAAATAAGGGAAACTATGTGGAGGTAGAGTAAAGCTGGGCATAGAGAGCTTGAATAACATAAAATAGAGTGACGAGGTGCCTGGGACATGTGGCCCTGAAGGGAAGTTTTCAGATAGAAGAATGGACAGAAGATGGACAAGTGAGGAAGGTCCTCCATGCCAGGTCTCTGATGTTAGGCCTTCAGATGCTAGGTCCCTTAATGCTGGGCCCCTGGGTGCTATGTTCTTTCATGCCAGGCTCCAAAGTTATTCATTAGGCTGCGGGAACTACGGAAAGTTGTCAACTCCCCATCTCTGGTGATAAGAGTCGCTCCTCTTTCTGGTATTCTGTGGGCGTCTTCTCAATGGGAAATTTATGCCCTCCTTTTAGGCAGATAGGCAGATAAGGGTAGGGCATAGAACTCTTCCTGCATCTGTTGATTCGCTGTTGCCCTCATCTCAAAATAATCTTTATGCCAACATGACATAATTTAGGGGTGGTATATTCCAATCCCCTTCTCTAGGGTTGGGGAATATGGAAGATCAAATTGGCATCTGCTCCATCTGGTTATGAACAGAATTTTAGAAGAATTTCTGCTTCATCCCTACCTCCTTTCCTTCCTTCTTCCTTTTTCCTTTTTCTTTCTTTCTTTTTTTTTTTTTTTTTTTAAATGTTTCATGCTATAGACTGGCCCTGCAGATACTTAAGTTTGCCACCACCATTCTACATTTAAGCCTCTGAACCTCCTATAAGTAGAGAGCACATTTTTCTCTTGGCAAGTTTTGAACAATAAAACTGTGAGATGTTCAATGAGCATTGAATTTTGAAGCCAGTCCAAGAGATGTACAGATAATATCCAAAGTCTGAAGGCTTAAGTTGTCATCACAGAGTTACTAGAGGACACTTACCTTTGACATGATTTGAAATCAGAAATAAGTGTAGAATTGTCATTTAGAACTCAAAAGAGACCTTAGAGTCTTCTAGATCAGTGGCTCCCAAAAGCTACTCAAGAATAGGGCTCATGTTTTTAGTGGGGAACTTTAAGTGGTTGGTTAGACCCCCACCCCAACATATAAACTCTGTGGTGGGGTCTGGGACTGAGAAGCAGAGAATTCTTTTCTTTTAAGCTGCCCAGGTGATGTTAATTCAAATCCAGGGATAACCTCAATTTATGACACTTAGCCAAGTGTTTCCCATGGCTCTGAGCTTCAGAATGTGACCCCTATCTAAGTCAAGTATCAAAGATTTTTTCTTCATGCTATTACTACAGAAACAGGCTAGAATATTCATAGTTCCTCGGCTCAAGAGCAGCAGTTTCTGACAAGTATTTTTGCATTTGGTAAAATGGTAGTCTAAGTTGGAACTCAGTAAACTATTTTTATTTTTAATGAGGGGAAGTGTAGAACTATAATACTCTCATGTTTTAATTTTTCTCAAATTGGCCTTTGTGCAAAAAAAAAAAAAAAAAAAAGGATTCCTGCTGTGCCCCAGTTCATAGCCTCATTTTACAAGTGAGAAAACTGAGGCACTGGGAGATGAAATGAATTGCAAGGGATCATCATGGCTTTCTTCAAATTGACTTGCTGAGGATTTGGTACACAATTGTCTCACTCTCTGTAGCGTCACTGAAAGAGATTTATAAATGATTATTCTCTGCGCTTTCCATTCCTAGCAATCTCTAATCGAATAACCTGCCTTTATCTGTAGCATCTTTTAGACCGTTCTTTGTACCTAACATGAGCTTTGCCAGATGTACTAATTACTAGCTGAGATTTTTATCTGATTCTTGAGAACAAAATGTGTGAATTCAGGAGATGAGTCAAGAAGTAGTCATCATGTAAATATTCAATAATAGTAAAAAACTGCAAGTAGAAAAGTTGTAGATGTATTGCTTCTACGGTTAACTTGTGATTGGATAAAGACATCTCCCTGGAATCCCTTCTGGTTATAAAAAGAGGCCATCTTAATTGGCTTGTTTTTGTTTGTGGTTATAAACTATTCCAAACCTTCTGGTTTGAATTGCGGATTATGGATTATTTCATTTCAGTCCTCTACAACCATCAAATTGAATTAAAAAAAAAAAAAGGAGGAACAGAAGTTTCATTGTTAGCCTTTATAGCATTTGACTAATAGCTATATGCAATTCTCTCAGCCTCTTCTGCGTTTGCTGGAAATGTATAGAGTATCTCTTCATCCTTAGATTGAGAGAGCATAAACATATTGAATGGATTTGATTTCCTACAAAACAGTGTTCTGGCCTTTCGATTAATTGACAATGAGGACCCTTCCTTTGTGGTATACCCAACTTTTCCTTCCAAACATTAGAATATGGATCACCTACAACTGAAGAGGTAGAGCTGTATAAATCTTTGCTGATGAACTAAAGAGGCCTTCACTTCAGTGTCTGGTGAAGCAATTAATGCTGGAAGAGTAGCTTGGGTTATTACCAGGATGCAGCATATGGCAGGGGTTTGCTAAGTGATTTCCATTTGGCTAACCATTGGATGGCAAGCCACAGGCAATATTTGGAGAGAAGGTAGAGCAGGGAAATGGGTCTTGAGTACATCTTATCCTGGAGGCACAGGGTGATAACACAGTGGTGCCTTCTAAGAAAGTCAGTTAGCAACCCTTTCTCTTCACACCAGTGAGACAGGGCCATTGTTTTTCATCTGAAAGAATTTCACTTTCCTTGCTGAAAGGATTAGGCTTTGACATCAAATTCTGGCTTTGACGTCATTTTTAAGACATCCCTTGAATCTAACCCTAGTTTTCTGGACAGGCAAAGCCTCTTGCTTAAATTCAAAATTCTCCAGGCCAAAGATGATGTCATATAGTTTGAAAGGCTCCAGTTCCTGGAGTACTACCAGGAAAAGAAAGTCATCTTCCTTGAATTCAGTCCGCCCTCAAGGTGTCCTGAGAAAGAAGCTGTTTCTCAGAACAGCCTGGGCAACATTGCTTTCAGGCAAACTCTTCTCTTGACTTCACATGTCCTACACATTCTTAAGCCACTGCAAGAACTTAAGTCCAAAAAGATTTCTGATAGCTATTTCCTCCCCAGGCTGTAAAAATTCCAGAATTATTTCATTCCTACAGCCTCAAAGATAGAGAAATCAAGGCTCCAAGAGCATATCTTGAGTTAAAATAGTCATTTTCCACTTTTTTTTTTTTAAGTGACAGAATATTTTCATCAAATAAAACTGTGGAAGGGACAGATTCCTTTTCCACTCACCGGTCCAGTCTTCTTGGCCAGGATGGGAAGTGTGGAGAGTTACTTTCAGGCGACCTTTAAAATGCTACCTGGGTTCTAAAGACAGTTTGTTTTTTGTTGTTGTTATTTTTGTTTGTCGTTGTTGTTGTTGTTTTGTTTGAGGCAGAATCTCGCTCTGTTGACCAGGCTGGAGTACAGTGCCATGATCTCGGCTCACTGCAACCTCCGCCTCCCAGGTTCCAGTAATTCTCCTGCCTCGGCCTCCCGAATAGCTGGGACTACAGGCATCCACCACCATGACTGGCTAATTCTTGCATTTCTAGCAGAGGCAAAAAGTTTCACCATTTTGGCCAGGCTGACCTCCAACTCCTCCTCAGATGATGCACCCATTTTGGCCTCCCGAAGTTCTGGGATGACAGGTGTGAGCCACCATGCCTGGCCTCGAAAGACAGTTTGAAAACCACTATATTTATAAGCAGTGAAAATTTTATGAACATGGTAGGTGTGGAGTGCTTTTCACAGAGTCCCTTGGGTCTTGCCTACACTAGGGAGAAATAACTTTCAAATGTCTTCAAAGTGAGATGAAATCTCACATGCACCAGATTGGCTTATTTTACTTGGGTGTAGTCTGCTCCGTTTTTCATCTTGTGTCATGGTTAGTTGTATGAAGTTATGCTTCCCACTAAACTGTGAACACTTGAAAGCAGTAACGTCTTTGTTTTCGTGACACCGTCTTACCCTCTACCCTCCATCCCTTCCTTCCTCCTCCCTACCTCTGCACAGACATAGTACCTGAAAATGGTAAGCAGTGGTGGATGGCGATGTGAATCTACTTGAGGGTATTACCAAGATGCAGCATATGGCGGGGGTTTGCTAAGTGATTTCCATTTGGCTAACCATTGGATGGCAAGCCACAGGCAATATTTGGAGAGAAGGTAGAGCAGGGAAATGGGTCTTGAGTACATCTTATCTTCGAGGCACAGGGTGATAACACAGTGGTGCCTTCTAAGAAAGTCAGTTAGCAACCCTTTCTCTTCACACCAGTGAGACAGGGCCATTATTTTTCATCTGAAAGAATTTCACTTTCCTTGCTTAACTTTCCTCATCTACTTAAGGACCTTGAAGAAGAGGCACAGTCCAAGAGAAATAACCAGGTGGATGAATTTGGCTATTTTATTTAGGAAACAAAGAGCCAGAAGTTCTCTGTTCCCCCAAAAAACCAAATATAATAGAAGGTCAGGTGGAAACACGAATATAACCAGGAGGCCTGAGGCTTAGTGAGAGAGTTGATCAAACTAGCCCCTTGATTAGATCAAATTTTCCAGCTGAATGGGGCTGGGTACTAGACAGTTGGAGGCAGATATTGGTTTTATTCCAGATGGAATTTTAAAGCTTCCCCACATCGAGAGGACATTGGACAACAGAATAAAAACTTTAAGCAAGTACATAATTAGGCACAACTATAGCACAGTAATACAGAAGGCAGATTTACATGAAGCCAGGAGATGCTCCCATGCCCTGTTCTCTCTCCTTGTTGGGCTCTGAGACCTATCTTGGGTTTGAACAATGGGAGAATTTAGACATTTCTCCCTCTGGAGTCCATGGCCAGTGTTTGAATTGCAAGTATATCTACAGACCAAAAAAACAGAGCTGTGTGCCTGGGAGACCTGTGTATTAAACAGTTGTGAAGAGCACATGTTGTGATTTTCCCATGGAAAGACAATATCTCAAAATGACCCAAGTCCATCTAGGCCATTCAGTGGAAGTGCAGTAAACAGAGGAACCACTTCCTTTAAGGCCCAGGCCTGTCTTCACTCCAGGTGACCCTCACTGGTAAAAACTGTGTTTAAACACCAGAACGTACTAAGTGCTAGGGGGCTGACACAGACCCCTGGCCCACTGCACACAGCTTATTAGTGCCCAGCGGTGCTTGATGTTGGCTTCCTGTGGCTACAGTTTCAAACTTAGTATGAGGTAGATTATTTTTCTGTCTTGTGATAATGCAGTATTTATTCCTAAAGTGGTCTTTTCTTTTCTCTGATAAGCAAGTGTGTCATAGGCACTCCCTGGTCTAGATGGCAGGATGGGGAGGAAGGCACGGTCGGTTTCACAACCTAAAATATCCCTGGCTCTCTTGTGCATCAGTTTTCAGAATGTGTATTATTTTATTTATAATGTATTCACTTGTTTATGGTGGGCATCCCCCACTTGAATACAGTGGTCTTACATGCTGGGTCTGCTTTTCACTGTTGCTTCCCAGCTGTAACATTTGCTAGCACAGTGCCTAACAAATGAGTGAAGCCCAGTAGATTTTTGGTGAATTAATGGATGAGTGAGTGAATGGATTCTGATATAATTGAGACTTATTTGTGACTCAGTGGTGAACTTAATATAGAACTTCTGTTCCAACGAGAGACACAAGTGGTTGGGGTGGACTTGATGCTTTGAGAGTAAAACCTTAGAGCATTGTTAATTTCAACCCACCACCTTAGATTGATGCTGTCCTCTTAGCTAGTTTTCCCTGTTGGGAAAGACTCAAAGCTGAAGATTGAGGACTCATAGTAGAAACTGTGATTTCCACAGTCACCTACCTCATTTGAAGGAAAAGGCTCCTGGAGTTCTATGTTACTAACTTGCTACAAGCATTCATCAGGTCATTTTGATGTACAAGCTGCTTTATGCAGTGAAAAGAAGTCTGCTGTTGATACCAGAAGACAACCATATGGGTCTTCGTTTTGGCATTCTGCTGCTGTGTGTCATTGGGCAAGTGGGCAGCCTCTCTGAGTCTCTCTTCCTCTGTGAGCAAGATTCCTATAACCTGCTTTGTAGGCTCTGGGAGGATTGTATGATGTCATGGATGTCAAAATCCTTTACAAAATATAAAATATAGTGTACACAAGAGATAAGGATGATCAGAGTGATGGTTTCTTAAGTGATTGCAGGGACACACACAATCCTGCAGGACACACAGGATATTTTGTAACCCCGTTGTGTCCTCTGGGGCCCACAGGCCTCATCTGAGCGAGGGAAATCTGGAGGCATATTTCAAGGGGCTTTGGTATTCTAGGGTCATTGAGGAATCGTGTAGGCACTTGGAGGTATCCTGTTTCTTCTCTCTTGATATGTGGGCCTCAAATAGATCAGCCTAAGATTATATCATTTAAAGGTTGGAGGGAGATTGTAACTAATATAAAATAATTATCAAAATACGTATTTTGAGTGTTTTTGAAAGGGGGTTGAAACCATTTCTTGTAATCTAAAACAAACTATAAATAGGGGGGATTTTATTTTCAGCTACGCCTGCTAGTAGATGTAAGAGGTGGTTCTGTCTAGTGAGAACTACTGAAACCAATTGGTTCAAGAATGCTTCATGGGAAATTGAATTATGTACAGCTGACATTGTCTTGAGGTCCTACTTGGGCCTTTTGAGAAGGGCTTATGAAAATGAAGGGGTTCTTTTTATTTGAAATAGAAAAGGTACCATTTACCCTATAATATTTAACCACCCATCTCCTCCTCTTCAGATTACAATTACAGAGCCCTGGTTACAAGTTGAGGTTTTTAAATTTTTTTCTTTGATTGCTGCCTTTAGCCCCGAGGTGAACTCTGCTGGCAGCCCAGCCCTGTGGGTATTTTTCAAAAGACGCCTCCTGCTTGATTGTATTAAATTCCACTGGCACCTTTGCCACGCCCTGTCCCCTAACATTCAAGTAAGAGTTTTCCTGTAACCCTGTTGAGAAATGTTCACGAGGACCTCAGAACCTGTTTGTCTTCCAGATTTCAAGGAAATACTAGACTTACTTGGATGTAGTAAATGCCATGGTTTCCCCAAATTAATCATTTGCCAGATTTTGCATCTGTTATTTTGTAAAATCTTAATTTATGTACCAAAATAAAATTAAAGAAAAAAATAAAACAAGACCATAATGTGCAGCTCACTATATTATACGCTGTTCGTTTTTGTTCACTCAAATCAATAATGTACATTTTAACTGTGGAATATGTTAGTTTTCATATGATTTGATCAATATCCCATTTTCTTGACCTAAGTGAATAAAAATAAATAGCTTGCAACATATACAGTTTCAGATGTTGGTTTTGTTTTGGTGGTTAGAGAAGCTGGCATAAAAATATAGCCTGAGATGACTGTGAATTCCACAACCAATTTGATCATTTAATTTAATCTGTGTAGTAATTTTATTTATTTTTTAAATTGGCAACATATCACATGGTTCAAAAATCAGAAGATACAAAAACATATTTGGTGAAAAGACTCTGTTTTACCTCTATATGTGATTTCCCATTTCCACATGCCTCAGGCAATCAGTGTTAACGTCGATTCATCTAAACTGATGAACTAAGATAGTGTTCAGCTAAAACCTGATTTTATTTTGATGCCTTATCAAATGACATAAAGGAATAGGGTAGCAGTATGAGACCCTGGCAAACTTACATGAATATCCAGGGAGGTGTCTTAAATGAAATGCACTTAGGCTGACAAAATATACATCCAAAAGTAGAATTCCATTTTTATTGTAAAGGAAAGTGCTGAAAGCGAGATCTCACTATGAACCCATAAATCACCCCATATACTCTTTTGGACTTCTCTGTTTCTGGGTTTCCAGAACAGACTGTTCTTTTCTGACCATTACATGTGTATTGAAGCCTGGCACTGTGAATCTCTTATGATGCAAGAGTGAATTTCCCATTGCCATTTTTTCAGATAACAGCCCGCCGTCAATGGAAACACATTTATGATGAATTAGGCGGTAATCCTGGGAGCACCAGCGCTGCCACTTGTACCCGCAGACATTATGAAAGGTAAGAAACCGTTTCTTGGAATTGCTTAGTTAAAAGTGTGTTAATTGAAAGGAGCTTCTGGTCAAGGTTAAGACAGAGGAAGAGTCTAAAAGACCTTTTGGGAAACTAAAAATTTCCCTCTGGCACTTTACTTTGCATACCGCCTTGTGATTTTTAGGGAACATGGCTTTCTCTGGTTACAGGGGCTAAAATTAGATGTTCTTTTAGTTTGGTGCTATCATGTGACCACCTTGCCTGACAATGCCTTCCCCCCACTTCCCCCCACCCCACACACAGACACAAGCATGGGTTACTCAGTATGTTCTCTTTAGGCTGACTTAACATGAGAACCTTTAGCTTCTGGAAAATCTGCAATGTTACTATGAGGTTGACATTGAAAAGTAAGCATTTCTCATAATATTAGCATTGAAAAGTAAGGATACGGTAAGAGAAATGAGCCCAGAACAAGTCTGTTGTTTTATCTCATTTTGGTATTTTTCTTCTATGGCTATGCTTTAGACCCAGGAAATCCTCTTGCTAAGCTCGGTGTGGCTTGGTTTTCAAAGTTTCAGCCTATTTTAGAAAGAGGATGATGATGCAGACAAGAAGTAATGGAAAATGAGCCTACTGTGTTGCATCCACAGGAGTGGATTTCCCCTTTGCATTAGAATTGTTACTCATACTGTTAAAGACCAGTTAGCAGATTCATGCGTTACCCCTCTGTGCTTCAAGCCCATACTTGATTTGTTTAGGTCATTACCAACTTTCTTATAACTGGTACTTCCCTTTGGGTCTTATACGTACATCCTCAGGTAATACCATTTAACTTATCAATTCTTAGCCTTTTTTTTAAGTTCAATTGTACTTTTATCTGTATTCAGATTTAGTATGGCTGTTCAACAAGAATGTTTTTGTAAGGATAAATTGAGTTGGGTTTAGTACACCATGAAAAATTGCCACAAAGTATTCCCAAGAGATCGCCTTACTTGGCAGTGTTGTAATTCGGAAGGATTTTTAAGAGTTGATAGTAGATACTCAAATTATTACTCTTTATAGGACTGTTTTTCAGTACAACACATCCATTTTTAAAATATGTTATTTCTCTCAGTATTTAATATAAAAACTCACGCATTCTCACTCTATGTAAAAGGTACACCACTGATGTCCTAGTACAAAGTAGCACTGACATCTCAGGTGAGTGTTCTGAAAATAATGTCTAAGGAACCACAGGCTACCTGTTTTTGACTTGTGAGTCTAGGCTTAATTCAGAACATTTTTTTTTTTTTTTTTTGAGATAGAGTCTCACTATGTCACCAAGCTGGAGTGCAGTGGCTCTATCTTGGCTCACTGCAACCTCCGCCTCCTGGGTTCAAGCGATTCTCCTGCCTCAGTTTCCCAAGTAGCTGGGAGTACAGGCGTCTGCCACCATATCCAGCTAATTTTTAGTAGAGATGGGGTTTTACCATGTTGGTGAGGATGGTCTCAATCTCTTGACCTTGTGATCCTCCCGCTTCAGCCTCCCAAAGTGCTGGGATTATAGGCGTGTGCCACTGCGCCCAGCCAGAACATTTTTATTAGAAACTCAGTCTCTGTTTTCAAATAGCTTCTGTGCTGAGAGTTGGATATCCCTTTTCTTTTTATGCAATTACCGTCAACACCTCAACCATCAAACTTAAAGAAACAGATAGCAATTAAAGCTTGAAAAAGGAGTTTATCTCAGCTACTGGCTTATCTAGTTAAAGAATAAAAACATTAATCAAATGCATTACAAAGTATCACATTAAAAAAAAAGAGAGAGAGAAATAGGTTTGGCATGGAGAGGATTGAACCCATAGTGGTGTGTGTGTGTGTGTGTAAATTACTTGAGGAGTTACGTGAATAAAAGTAGGATTCTTTTGAAGATTGTATACTTTTGATTATTTATTTCTTGCTGGAGTAGGAGATTCCTGAAAGCTTTCAATCAATCACATTAGAAAATTTTAGTAGAGATACCACAAACTTTAACAATTAAGAAACATTATTAAAGATGTCTTAAAATTTTTCTCTCTGTATTCTTCGGACCAGATTGGATATTTCATAAAGGTTTGATCTGTCACTCGGTTAAATTTTTTGAAGAGTGATGTCACTTTTCCGGATCCAGAATTTGTTTGCTCAGTGTATCAGTCAGGGTATGGTAAGGAATATGGAAACCACGCTGGGCATTCAGCAAACAGACTTCACCATAGACAGTTGCTTAAACAGGCATTGGTGTGAGGCACTAAGTTACACGGAGGGATTAACTGTAGGTTCTGTAGCATGAGAGAATAGAGAGAAGAGGTTGGTTGTCACCACCCACAAGTTTGGAGAATGTGCCTCAAAGGGCTGGGGTTCAGGTCTCTGGTAAGAAGGAATCACCCAACCAGCACTGGTGCTTCAGGAGCTCAGAGGAGGAGCACTGTGGAGCTGGGCTGAAACCTGAGGAGGTGGTGCTCCCTGGCTGCTGCCAGACCTCAGAGGACATGCACTGAAGCTGCTGGGGGACTGTTCAAAGAAACTAGAGGCTGCAACCCACAGATGCTGTTAAGGCATTGTTGAGTTGACACCGATACAAACAAGTGAAATAGAAAGGAGATTCCTTTTCTCTCCCTGCCTCCTAGGACTCCCTGTTTGCAGAACAGTAACAGGAAAATAGCTGACAAAAGGAATGTGTAATTTACAGAATTCCAGTCCTAGCATCAGCAAGCAGAGTACAGAAGGGTGGGTTTGGAGTTGAGGGACATTAGTGCATCCGCCAAGTGGGATGGACTTGGCCACATGCAGAGCCCCGTTTTATGCGTGGCGACACCAAAAATGGCAATGTGGAGCCTGCAGCCACATTGGAGCATAGCTGTCCCAGGGTGATCAGCAAGGTCCTTCACCATTCTTTGGTATTTACTTTTGCTATCTAGACTCCTCTCACATCCTTGTGATCAGATGCAATCACTACCAACATTTGGAGATCATTGATTTTATTTACAATAGTGCCTCTCTCACTCTTGAATCAATCATTATCTTAAAAGGAATCACCCATAATCCTGTGTGTTGTGGTGGGAAGAAAAGGCTAGGATTACCATTCTAGATGTCTTCTTTTTAACTGGTTCTACCAAAAAAGGGCAGAGGACATGCGCATCTGTCCAGGGACTTAGATCAAAGAAGAGACTGAAGCTCTGGGCTGAAACTTCATGATTGTGGTGGATTTCATTCATTCTTGCTAGTCACAGGTTGCATGAACAGATGAAACAGAGATGATTAGATTGGCGAAGGAACACTGTTTTCAAGAGAAGGGTTGAGTTGAGAATGGTCAGGACTTTGTGGGCAAATATCTAGTCTGGAAATGCCCTTGGAAATTTTTAAAGCCTTCCAAACCAAATCAGAATGATGAGGTTCTTCTGTTCTCTCATTGTTTTCACTCTGTTAAAGAGAATTGCTCCTTTTCCTATTTCCCTGTCACCAGCTTTGCTCTCCTAGAAGATGAAGAAGTGACTGATCTACTATGCATTATCCACTGATTTATTTTTCATGCACTGTGGTTCATGTTTCCAGTAAACGTTTTCATTTTACAACAAGAAAAATGTAGCCAGTTCCTCAGTAAAATGTTACTTGTATATTAGTTGAGCACTTTTGGTTTATTAATGAGTGCAATAATGAAAGTGTGGGTTGTTGAAAAGAATCAATGGGTGTTTTTATTTAAGGCATAGCAGAAATGGTACAATGCTTGTGAATACATCATTGTCGCTGAAGGCCTGACTCGTACAAACTTGCCTCTGATTGGTTTAAATCAAATAGGTCCAAGCACTTCATAAAAATGTCTTTGTCAGCCTGGTTTTGCTTCCAAACCTATTCATCTCTGTCAGTTTTTAATATTAGTACCAGGCTCCTGGCCATAGTCCATTAGTACTGTACTTAATTGCTCATGTTACAGATGATTACCAATATAAAAAGCATTAATGTTTTCCCATCGCAAGGCTTTTGCTATGTAGATGTCTCAAACTCAGCAAAGCTTATGAAATGTGGTTATTCTGGATATTTCTTGCTCAGGATTTATAGATAAAGTTACTGTAGATTTTGATGCAAAGAAAAATACCCACCTCATTTGTTCTGAGTGGAACATTTTCTTTCTTGCCTCTTTACTTGAAAGTACCCAGATCACTTTTATTTTTATCAGTAAAGGAACAAGAAGGAAAATGGCTACTTTTATGAAACTCTCTTAGCTGGATTTTCTAGAATAGTAATTCACTTTAAAGGCTTTGTTTTCACATGCAGATTTCGCTCTCTCTCTTTTTTTTTTTTTTTTTTTAAAGTGCATGCAGGGGGAAAAAAAAATCTTCACTCCGAATGCTAGATTACTGGTTTTAATTTTCCTGAATAAATTACATGGTCTGTTTCTGTGGAGCACATGAAGTTGTTATTACGGATTTTAAAAGGAGCATTAAAGCAAAAGTACTTTATGATGTGCATTTTTGTGTATTTAGAAAATCAAAATCATAAACAAATGTATTTGTTTGTGAGGGAAATTAGCAATTACTCTTCATCTTCTTGCATACATAATGCCTAATTTCAAATCCAACCTTTTGCTTTTACCATAAGCATTCCTTGGACAAGACTATTGCCCTGCGTGGCTGAGGCAGCTTTCTTTGCAGGAACTTAAGGTGAGGTGTCCCCATGCCAGATTGGGCAGAAACTGAGTGATAGCTGGAGCTTCTGCCTTTTTTTTCGGAAGGTGGAAGGCAGAGTGTGGGAGGCTTCATGTTCTGAATAAGATAAGCATGTGCTTTAAGGTATGGACCAAAAATATACCAGGTTCTAAGGAACCCACCTATTCATACCATGGATAAAGGTCGGGGAAGGAAAGGTGAGTTACAGCTCTGTTCACATCAGGGACATGATTCCATGTATTCTTGCTCAGTTGGACACCCTGAGAGTTAATAAATACACAGTTCGGAAAGTCACAGGCAGCATCTCAGAACTGTATATTTAAGAGGACCTCTAGCAACTCCCTAGAG